TTTCCTTACCACTGATGTTGCACAATAAAGTAATAAATACTGAACAGATCATGTACCTGAATTCCCCCAAGAGAATGGAGTGCACTTTGGAAAGAGTGGGTAATTACAGCTTGTACTCCCTAAAATAGAATTAGAGAGATCATGAGACTGGTATATGGGATAGTGGGTGATTAAAGCTTGTACTCTCTAGAATAGAATTAGAGAGACCATGAGATGGTATATGGGATAGTGGGTGATTACAGCTTGTACTCCCTAGAATAGAATTAGAGAGACCATGACTGGTATATGGGATAGTGGGTGATTAAAGCTTGTACTCCCTAGAATTTTTCCGAACTGGCGGGGAATTCAAAATAACGATAAACATCAATTCCAAATGTTTTTGCGGTATGTTACTATTTTAATACGATAGATTATCCTACAATTTAGAAAAATTGGAGTTCATTTGCACTTTAAAACTTTCAAACCTCACTCATTATAGTATGTTCTTTCAATGGGTAGTTATGATATATATAAACTCAGGCGTTACGATAGCCACGCCCTATTTCATATGGTCTATAGGCAATGTTTAACGATGCACTTATATTGAGTAACAAAGCATGATGGGAGTTGTAGTCCTCTAACTTTTTCTTGTCCGCCAAAACAGTTATCCTGAGTCGTTTTTGCTGTTCTTTGCGAGAAAAGAAGAAGCTGCGCCGTTTCTATAACTTAAACATAAAAACGGCTTTTTGCGGAGATAGGAGTGATAGGACTACAACTCCCACAATACTTTGCTGTACAAAATGGCACCTCTGTACAGTGTCTAATAATGTAGTATTACTAACCTCAAGCATGAGTGCATGTGGAGAGTGACAAAAGTACGACGTGTTTTCAATAGGAGAGGCTTCCATACAAAGTTGTTGATCACATGCTTTGGGACTGTACATGAACATGATGCTGGATGCAAGATGGCCATCATAAAGAATCTGGAAATAAGTCACAACGAATCATTCAGTTGTTCATTAAGAATTAAATGATCTTTTCCATTCTCTGTTAAGTTCTATTACGCTGTGCAAATTGGCTTACAACGCCGTTGCACCTAGTCTCCTCTCGAAGCCGTTACAAGTCTAGTTCCCGACCTGGGAACGGCTGCGAGAGGAGACTACGTTGCACCACAAGTTGCTGGAAGAATAATCCAGTTTCGAATTCATAGCAAATAACCGCTGCTATATTTGACCATAGTTAGTAACTATGATTTGACAACAGATTCTCTTGCGCAAAGACCTCACAACACAAAATAGAGCACGAGAAAATGTCGTTATTACAATAGACTTGAAAATTTGCATTTTCCCCGAGTTGAGATTAACCCTGTATTCCCATAAGGCCTAATAAGGTATGAGCAGGGTTAGCCTCAACTCGGGGAAAATGTAGATTCTTAGCGCTAGTGTATTAACACCATTTTCTCGTGCTTTCTTTTGTCTTTGGTAAGTTCTTTGAGTAATAGAATCTGCTGTCAAGTAAAACAGCGGTTCTTCACTTGAATTCGAAACTGGAGTATTGTGCTGTGTAACAGGGGTCATATCACATTTTGTTGCATGTAGCTTTGCAACCAGTAGAACTCAGGTTTACTTGTGCCAATGTATTGTAGCAACTTGTAATGCCAATGCATAGTGTATCATCAACTTTTATTGCAATTTTCGAGTTTCGAGTCACGTACGCTCGTAAAGCATGCATAATTTAGCATGCGTGAAGCCCAACCAAAACTGTTGTTGTACACACTAATTACATATGTATTAAAGATATATATCAATACTGACCTTTATGTCTTGCTCAGAAAGAGGAATGTCAATCTCTGACTCAAACTTAAACTGTCCCATATAGCCAGGTCCAAGTCTGTGGATGGCTGCAATTGTATTTGGAGCTAAATTTTCAGAGAAGACATAAACTGCAGCAGTTTGACCATGAAATACACTGGTGACATCAGCTTTGGGTGAGGATCCAATGTAGCATTTATCAAACGGCTGTAAAACAAAACATTTAAGGAAAATTGTCATCAACTTTATCATGATATATTTACCAAGTATAACTTGAGGCATAATTGTTACCATTGGAAAAAGTGATTTCTTACAGAATTTGAACAGGTTTAGAGAGAATTTTGTTTATGCAAAAATCATGGCACTCTTGC